TAACTTTTCATAATCTTTTGCTAGCTTTTAAGATGGGAAAATAGGTGGTGGATTTTCTGAGTGCAAACTTCTGTTGAGAATTCTGCCTCGCAGGGGGCACATATGGTAAAAATTAAAAAGAAATTGGGGACAGACTTCCTTTGATCTTGCACTGTACGCATCCACAAGGAAAGACTGAGCGTTCAGAAAATTAGCTCTATTGTCAGCTGTTGAAGAGTCCTTTGCTCCACTGTGAGCTTTTCCATGGTGATAACCCTCTCTAAAGGTCTTCATAGCTCATTGTAATGGTAACTACTTGGCTCTGACAAATAAATCATTTGCAGGAGTCCTTGATCTGGAAAATAATATTTTTGTACTTATCTCCCAAAGTCCTTTTGTTTCAATTGGCGAGGGTTGTCAGGTGTGCCAGATGGAAAGTAAAGTTCCCTCAATTTTGCCTGATGATATGACTTTGATCCTTTTCCAAGATGGATGATTTTTTTTTGCATTGGTGTGAATTTCCCCATATCTCTTGCCAATCTTTTTCATGTCTTCCCTAATAGCTCTTTTAAAATTGACATTGATATCAAGCATATAATTGAAGGCTCTTTAGTCCACTTTGTTTAGCTAGTCAATGTTATTGAAAGCACCACAATCCTGTTTGTATTGGGATTCTGCTTATGAGCCCTGAACGGAAAGTACTTTTCACTACCAGTGCGGATGCTGTGCATGAGGCCTGATTGTTTTAATTTACAGAAATTGTACATTTGCTTAAAATCAAGCTAATTTTGCACTCACTAAGTACGCATTGCAGTAAAATTGAGTTTTTTGGTACTAAGAAAACAGGCACAGAATTGGAAACTGCATTCACTGGAAATTGTTCATTAATATGAATAGATTTTAATTGAATAGGATTGCCAAAATGTTAACTAAAAACAGAAAATGCCACAAAACTTCAAGTCTAGCTGCACCTGTGGAGTGATTAACAGGCTTAACAATTCAGCTGGATGACAGTTCTTCAGTATTTTCAGTACTTCCTGTTTTTATTTTGGATTTCTATCATCAGCAGTATTTTGTTTAGTAGTAGTGTGTAATTTACTGCTGCCTCTCTTTCTGAATGCACACCTTGAAGTTCTCTTCTGTCTGATGCAATTTCTATTTGTCGCTTTTACATTGTTTATTTTCATTGTTTGAAATTTTCCTTCATGTGTTTCACCAAGTAGCTACTAAAACTCCCTTTCACAGCTACATCTTCCTCAGCAAGTTGAGTTAGTGGACTAGGTATCAGTCGAGCAGGCTGATTTGACCTGGTGGATGTTAAACTTCATGAGTGTTGTTAGTGGTGCTGTAGATCAAAGGAGAGTATTCCATCACATTCCTTGCTTGTGTCGTGTAGATGATGGACAGGATCAAAACTAAAGTTGCTGGAGAAGATCAGCAGGTCTGGCAGCATCTGTGAAGGAAAAAACAGGGGAAGGGTCACCGGATCTGAAACGTTAACTCTGTTTTTTTCCTTCACAGATGCTGCCAGACCTACTGAGCTTCTTTAGCAACTTTATTTTTGATCCTGATTTACATCATCTACAGTTCTTTCGGTTTTTAGATGATGGACAGGCTTTATCGACAGAGTCAAGAGGAGAGTAAATCATTGCAGAATTTGCAGCTGCTGATGCCTTGTGGCCACAGTTTTGTAGGGCAGATCCAGTTCACTGTTTGGTCAATGGTAACCCCCAGAAAGTTGATAGTGGGGGATTCAATAATGGTAATGCCATTGAATGTCAAGTGGTAATGATTTAGATTCTCTCCTGTTGGAAATGGTCATTGCCCTGCAATTGTATGGCATGAATATTACCTGCCACTTATCAGCCCAAGACCTGTCCAGGTCTTGTGTGTGGACATTGACTGCTTCAGTATTTGAGGAGCTGTGAATGGTACTGAATGTCATGCAATCATCAACGAATATCCCAACTTCTGACCTTATGACAGAGGGAAAGTATTTGATGAAACAGCTAAACTGCTTACACCAAGGATATTACCCTGAGGATTCTTACAGTGAAGTCCAGGGACTGAGATGATTGACCTCCAGCAACCACTGTCATCTTTCTTTGTGCTGGGTATGACAGATGCCATTGAATGTCAAGTGGTAATGATTAGATTCTGGTCTGGCAGATGGAATACAATGTAAATAAATGTGAAGTCATACATTTTGGTAGGAGTAATAGTAAAAAGGATTATTACTTGAATGGTAAAAAGTTGCAGCATGCTGCTATGCAGAGGGACCTGGGTGTCCTTGTGCATGAATCACAGAAGGTAGGTCTGCAGGTACAACAAGTAATTAGGAAGGCAAATGGAATTTTGTCCTTCATTGCTAAAGGGATTGAAATTAAAAGCAGAGAGGTTATGTTGCAGCTGTACAAGGTGCTGGTGAGGCCACACCTAGAGTACTGTGTGCAGTTTTGGTCTCCTTACTTGAGAAAGGACGTACTGGCACTGGAGGGGGTGCAAAGGAGGATCACTAGATTGATTCCGGAGTTGAGGGGGTTGGCTTATGAGGAGAGACTGAGTAGATTGGGATTATATTCATTGGAATTGAGAAGATTGAGTGGGGATCTTATAGAAACATATAAAATTATGAAAGGAATAGATAAGATAGAAGTAGAGAGGATGTTTCCACTAGCGGGTGAAGCTAGGACAAGAGGGCATAGCCTCAAGATTAGAGGGAGCAGATTTAGGACTGAACTGAGAAGGAATTTCTTCACCCAGAGGGTTGTTAATCTATGGAATTTCTTGCCCAGTGAAGTAGTTGACGCTACTTCAGCAAACGCTTTTAAAAAAAAGGTAGATTTTTTTTGAACAATAAAGGAATTAAGGGATAAGGTGAGAACGCGGGTAAGTGGATCTGAGTCCACGAAAGGATCAGCCATGATCTTATTGAATGGCGGAGCAGGCTCGAAGGGCCAGACGGCCTACTCCTGCTCCTAGTTCTTGTGTTCTTGTGACTCCAACCAACGGAGAGCTTTCCTGATTCTCACTGACTCCAGTTTTGCTTTGTCTCTTTGATGCTGCACTCCGTCAAATGTGGCCTTGGTGTCGAGGCACACCATTTTTACCTCTCCTGTGGAGTCCAGCTGTTCTGTCAATGTTTGAACTAACTATAATGAGCTGAGCTTGAGGGAACTCAAACTGAGCATCAGTGAGAAATTGCTGCTAGGTAGCACTGTCAACAACTCTCTTCCATTATTTTGTAATAAGATTAGACTGATAGGACAGTTGTCTTTTTTTTAAAACTCATTTATATGATGTGTGTGTCACTGGCTGGGCCAGAATTTATTGTCCATTCCTGTTGCTGTTGAGAAGATGATAGTGAACTGTCTTCAACTGCTGCAGTCCATTGGTGTTGGTAGACAGCCAGTGCTGTGGGAGAACAGGATTTTGATCCAAATTCTGTTCAATAAGCAAAGCATCAAGAAGATTTTCCATCAATATTCCTCTGTCTGTCCCAATATTTCTCCTTCTGAAGAAGACCACAACATGATGAGGACGGCTCTTGCTTTGGAGTAGCCGTTAATATACACTATTTCTAGGAGCTGATTGTTTACCTCGTGTCAATCACTTGTTAAATAGCTCTAACTGACAACCTAAAGGCAAGTTGCTGAAGTGTCACCACTATCCCATCCATAACTTTATTGCAAGATCATCTTTTCATTTACCACATGCTGGGAGCCATTTGTTAATCTCCATGAGACATTTGTTACAAAATATCATCCTATTAACTTAGGAATATCAATATTGCAACCTGAACCAGGAGATCGCAATATTTCTAATGAGTGTTTGTGCTTTTCCAGAGAAAAGAGAAAGTTTCTCTGCGAAGTGACCTTATCCTGTGCCAAAATTCCATATGAACTCTATAATATTCTGAAAATTACCATTCCAAGATGCGTAAATTATTAACAAGACTGAATCTAGTCTTAAACACAAGTTGACAAAATCAAAAATGGATGAATTCAACTGAAATCAATATTCCTTAGCATAATATAACCGTTTCTCAGTAGAAGCTGTGTTCTTTATATAAAAAAATGGCAACTTAGATGTTTATTTGTGAAGTTGTCTATTTTCAGAGGTAATTAGGATACATACATGAAATGTTCTTAATTAGTCCGTAATCACTTAAGTACTTTTCCACTTATGTAAAAGGGTACTGCACTATGTTTTGAATATCTATGTATGGACTGAAAATCACATTGCAAAGCTTTAATTTTGTAGCCCTGATAATAACCTGTGGTGGGACTGTGGCATGCTGACTGAGGGCTGGGAAAATGGCAGTGTTAATGATGGTGGAGGGAGGGATTGTGAAGTCCAGTGTGGGTCGAGGCCATTTAACTCCCAGATTCCATTTAAATTAGCCACAACTGTGTGCACCAGAAGCTCATGAGGGCGATATGGAAGCCATTGGAAAGGAATAAGATTTCAGATGACAGGCTTGAGAGGGCAGTTTAGTTTGGGCTCGATTAAGACTGGAACACGAGAGGCATGGGTGCTCTTTCTTCTTGGGGCTTTCCTTTTCCTCCAGACACACAAGAAAATGTTAAATAGTATAAAACTTAAGACCTGTATCCTGCTTGTCATCAAATTTAGCTGAACCCTCAAATTGTGCAATTCCGTTTTTGTCGGTGGGAAATTATTATCATGAATTCTGTTTTATTGTCCTTCACCAACTGATGAGTTAGCTGCCAATCTGTGGCAGGTGACTTCCCAGCAACCCAAGATAGAAGGGCTAAAATGATGGAAGGCGCAAAGGGGTCAGGAATACAGTCTTTAGCAGTTGACTATCTATTAATCACCCAGTTTTGCTGTTTATGGATGGCAGACCGGATTAAAAGTGGGATTGTATTTCAGAATAAGGGTGGGGTTTCATTCAGTCTTTTCCTATGCATGCACTTCCTCAGCATTGAAAAGAAGAGATATGTTTCAATCTAATCTCCCAATGTGTTAGTTACTGTTTGATTTTTTTGTTCCTGCAGGTATATTTATATTCCATTGGGAGGGTCACGGCATGGTGTACTACGGATCATGTTTTCTTCTGCCATGGCCTTTAGCTTTGTTTGCTACTGGCATGGTGGCCATAGCTTCATGCTAAATTGGGCAGCTTTGAACTGGGCTGGAGTAATGGTGGAAAGCATATTGAAGATGGTCTGTTCCATTTCACCTGTTCGGGAGATTGTTGTAAGTGCCATTTTTATGTATCCTGTTGGAAACATCTACAACACTTTATGTTTTTCCATGTCAATGAATGTTGGGAGTGGAGGATTGTGATAGATCACAAAACCAACATCCTTATGTTGCTGGTTCAATTCCAGTTAGAAGGAGTCTGAGTCTTTTACGGTCTGGTGTCGCAGTGATAGTGTCTCTAGCCCTGAGCCAGGTGATTTGGCTTCAAGTCCTGCCTGTCCCAGAGGTCTGTCAGAACATGTCTGAACAGGTTGGATAAAAGTTATTATCTTTGATTTAGAAATTAAATTGTAAAATGTTTTGAAAGTCCCACATAGGTGTTTCAAGTCCACGTTAATGTGGAAAAATATAGCTAATTAATCAATCTTTTTCCATACTAATGCATTATAAAATGTAATTTATGAAAAGATAATTGTAAGCCACATTGCAAACTGATGATTATTGCTCCTTGCTGTTCAAGTCTGATGCTAATTAAATGAAAGTGGAAGATTTTCTTAGTTGTCAGCTGAGCACTTGAAATTTTAATTTCAAACTTATATATGCAATGAAAATTTAATTTATCTGAAGTGTATACCCAGTAGGTTTAATTAGTGTAACCAGTGAATAGAAATGAAAGAATGATGGGAAACAGATAATGATTTTATATTTGCACGTACTTTTGTTTTTGTTCAATGAAATATCCTGAGCCAGAGTCTACAAGTTCCTCCCATGTTTTAACTGAAAATAACCAAAACAGTACGTTTGTTTAGCAAATCCTCAGTTTATTACTTTCAAAATAATTATTTATCATTAATTTCCCAATTGAAGAGAAAAAAATGTATTCAGGAGTAATATTTTGAATTTTTCAGTTCATCCAGGACAAGTCTATCAATTGATCTACAAATAAAATGATTGTATATTTATTGCCTTAAATCCTGTACCTTCAGATCAAGCAAGAAAAGACTTTTTAGAAGGATTTAAAAAAAACTTATGGAATCAATGAATTCCTCAAATACATAGGGTGGGAAGGTGTACGATTCAGTATTTAAACACAAAATTGACTTGACTAATTGACTCAGATATTCAATATTGTTCATTGAAATTTCCTTCCCTTGATAAAAATGTAACTGATTAACTAATTGTCATTTTAAAAGTTACTGATGGGCTACCACTGGTTGCATGTATTTTTCCCATACTTCGGCTTCAATTGAGAAATTCCAGTACCCTGTTGAGATTTGGTCCATTTTTTTTCCATAATCTGTGTGACTGCTGTTAAATTCTTTGGTTAATTGCATGATTTGCCTTTTTAATGTCATAATTGATATAACAGACTGGATGTTTAGTTTCCAACTGCCATTTATCACTATTTTCCAAATTTGCATAAGTTTTACAATTATCAGCATGCATTTGCTGTATTCATTCTCAGTGACTTGTCATTTGAAGTAGTCAATTAATGTATTTTTGTTTTTAAAACACAAATTTTATAAGTGAAACACTACACCAATCAGTAAATGATTCAACTTGAGATCCAACTGCATGTAACATATTCATTATTTGTTCATCTGTGTGTAATTGCTTCCGTTCACTCATTTTAAAAATAAACTGAAAGCAAAATATATGTGCTATATCCCTATTTTATACATTCAAGTATCCAGTTGTTTCCTATTGTGAGGAAAAGGAAATGCACTGTCATAACTACATTTTAAATGTGCAATTGCCTAATGTTAAATTAACTTGCAGTGGGAATGGGCAGAGGGATACCATCAAATTAAGATAAGCTATGCCAATACTGCTGGACACAAAAGTTATTCCTCCTGAGATTTCTTTGCTGCTTAATGCAGTAAATGAAATAAATTTAGTTACCTTTTCATGAATAATTTATCCACTATACTTTTTGAGCATTTACCCCTGAAAGAACAAGCAATCATCAATCAATTTCCAGATTGTCCACTATAACTATTCATTATTCTTGTAATTAATTTTATTACTTGGCAATCTGAATTTCCAGTACAATATAAAGTGACCAACCTGTTCATAGCATCCAGTTTTTATCTGAATATATATCATGAAGTAATAAAAATGCCAGATTTTTAAAAGCAGCTACAGTAATACACTACATAATGTACATATATAGTAATAAAGCTGCATGCAAACTAGTTCTATCATCTGTTTATTTTTGTTTGGATAAACCATACATTAGAGGGCAGTAACAACATTTTTAACTGAAACAGTTGACACTTTTGTAGTTCCAGCAATCAACAAATTCAGAGATTCTGACGTGAATTACAGAATCAACAGAAACAGTACTAAATGCAGAGTAACCTGAAACATGGAGGTTTTGAATTGCCTTCGTCAGGCTGCTTTCATGTGTCTGTTTTTAGTTGCCACTATGTTGCTTGAATGATAAATTAATTTCTGTTGGGCAAGCTAAAGAAATGCATGTTTCAAAACATCTTCAGAATGCTAGACAGTGATCCAAAAAGAATCAGAACTGTCTCACAAATGAGTGACCTTGTGTGCTGTGCTGTTTTGCTCCTGAGATAATATTTAACAAGTCGAATCTATAGTCTGCCTTTGTAACATTATGACTTTAGCAATTAATTAAGAAATGGTGTGATTTAGTGTAAGTGGTTTCTTTTAAAAATTGCAGTGGAATGCCTTAATTGAAGTTTCATTAATTTTAATTTTTTATTAAGTTTTTTCACTGATGTCACTGACAAATGCCTTAGAGAAAGTGAGCAGTTTACCAGCAGCTCCCGAGGAATCAAGATAAATATGCGGCAGTACTGCATGAGTAGATTTCTCCTCCATAATACTGCATTAGGTTTTTGAGTAAACTAAAAAAAAAATACTAGTCTTCAATCAAAATGAAAAATTCCAGTATAATTTATAGCAGTTGCCTCCATCTTTTAATTAAGCTGATAAGATGTCTTTCCTGTGTGTTCTTTGCAAACATTGTTTCCTTACAGCCAACATCCTAAAGAACTGGGAAACATCAGTAAAGAATAATGGTAGCTCCATAATTTATTTTTTAGTTCATCAGAATCTTGAACTTCATTCAGAGGAAATAATCCTGAAAAGATTACATTATGCTTGATTGATAGAAATGCTAGTGAGGAGGGCTCCCTTGATGGCTTAATTGATGAATAAGTTGATTTGGCTAACACTGCCATATTCATAGATTCATAGATTCATAAAGCATAGAAAAGGCCCTACGGCCAATTGGGTATGCACCGACATAACTACCAGTAAAAGTGCACTAGTCCCAATTTCATGCACTTGTCCATGTCCCTGTACAACTATTTTGATTCCCTATCATGTGCTATGTTAGCTAATCTTATTGTTTTTTGTATTCCTGATTCCCTGAACATTATGCATGAACTTCAGCTGATCTCGGAGTGCCTGAGCAGTGTTTATGAGCTGCAGTTGGTCTCAGACTGCTCAGAATAGAAAAGGAAAATTGAACAATTTTGCTAATCCCTATCCGGTGATGCTGATGTAGTATATTTGTGTATATGAAGTGAGGAAAGGCTAGGATTTGACAATGTTTTTCATTCCTATGGTCAAATATCCCAATGAGAAGGCATGAAAGGATGCCCAGCATGCATGGAATTATAATCCTGACTTGGTTTTGGGAGAAGAGAAAATGTTTTAAAGTAGATAAGTGCAGCAGATGATAAAACTACAATGCACTAAAAATGCTGAAGAAGAAACGTTAATAGCATTCCAATCACATGCTCTTTATAATACCTTTATTGACCTATTCACTAAAATAGCACTAATAGCACTAACTATATGCAACTGTTCTATTAGTAATGCCATGATATTAAATAGAAAAATAAGATCAGAACTCGTGTTTAATCAATGTTTATTTTGTAAGCATGAGTGATTTTCGTGTGACGATGTTCTTGAGTCAGATAATAGTGTTACATGATGATTGGAACATTAAATAATACGAAACAGTTGTTACTTTCTTATTATTTGCCTAGTAACAACAGACAGCAAGGATGAAGAAGATGAAGGGTTAATTTTATGCTTTCCAAAAGCTGAAAAGCAATTTAACCCTTTGTGCTTAACAAGTGGAATTTTCCAACATGTTATATTTCAACTTTGTACATTCTGTGTAAGAATATGTTAGTGTTTAGTCGCTGAAATGGATATTATGAATGCTTAGATACCTATAAACAGATGTAAAATGCCAGAACCAAAGTGGATCTAAAGTTTACAGATCAGCATTCAGTAAAAATATGCTACTACATTACATAGCCACTGGTCGGATGTGCCAGCAACTGAAAGTTTATATTAAATAATCCCGTCATTGTAAATGTTTTTCCACTTGTATCACAGAAATAAACTTTAAGTTGTGAAATGATTGTGCAGTATTTGGAAAAAAAATTAATGCAATTAAAATCCTTTAAAAGAAATTTTTTGACCCAGAATATTGTGGGCTATGGTGAGCAATTTGGGAAAATCAGGCAAGGTATCGAACAAGGTCCTTATGTTGAGACCAAAAAGTTGCAATTTCCATCCAAATCCGACGTAATCTTTTGACATTAGTAAGGAAAATTAAAGCTGGTAGTATCGGAAGTAATGAATTGATATGGATAGAGAACGCTTTGGCGGACAGGAAACAGAGTGTTGGGATAAATGGCTCCGTTTCAGAGTGGCAGGCAGTGATGAGTGGGGTACTGCAGGGTTCAGTGCTGGGATCCCAGCAGTTCACAATATACATTAGTGATTTGGGTGAAGGAATTGAATGCAATATTTCCAAATTTGCAGATGACTCTGAGCTGGGTGGCAGTGTGTGCAGTGAGGAGGATGCTAAGAGGCTGCTGGGTGACTTGAACAGACTGGCTGAGTGGCCAAATGCAATACAATGTGGATGAATGTGAGGTTATCCACTTTGGTGGCAAAAACAGGAAGGCAGATTATTATCTGAATGATGGCAGTTTAGGAAAAGGTGAGATGCAAGATTCACCATGTCATGGTGGACCAGTCGCTGAAGGTTGGCATGC